TTATTTCCAAATTTTTGTTGACTTTATTTCGCTTTTGTAAAGGTAATAAAGTCAGTTGACTTTATTTCGAACCAGGGTGGGAAATAAAGTCAATTGACCTTATTTCCATTGATATTATTACCTGTCACCGATAACTATTTCGGAAATCACCACATTTCCTCATCAGACTTCTTTCAGTAGACTTCGAACCGACGCATCCACTGACTCAGCCAGTTGCCTATGCACCGTGCTAAGTACGCCTTGTAAATTATCGTTTGCTTTTTTCCACTATTTTCNTTGGTTTTTGCTAATAATTCTATTTTTAGAATGTTTAACTTTTAGGAGTGCTCGTCCTTAAGTTATTTGTTTTTGTAATTTTTTGGGCGTTATAAGAATTATATTCAACAATTTTTTTATTGAGCTTGAGTCCGTTATGTTGTTATTGCATTTCATTTTATTTATCGCTGGTGTCATTAATGTCTCTAATACTCCGCTGGGGTATGCGTTTTTGAAGAGAATGTTTTTTATTTTAGCCCTATTATCTTCTATGAACTCCTAAACTTTAAAATTGTTTGTACAAATATTCGTGGAATAGTTTGGAGTTAACTTCGACAAAAACCACTGTTTGTTAACAGATTATCCTCGACGAAATTATTTTCGTAAAGCTTGTGCTATTTTGGCAGAAGTGTTTTCCTTTTTCAAGCGTTCTCTTTTACTTTAAAATTGTTCAGAACACGTGAATATGTAAGTCGAAGTGACTTCGCTTATGGGAAAAATGTAGTAGTTTTCAATTCTTCGGTAAATCGGCTTCCGACAATTTTTAAATTCATGATAAAAGAAATCAAATGCGGCCTTTTGGAGATTAGGTGTCGTTTGTTTGTTCGATTACGCATACTTACACATGTTGCCACGCTCATTTTAAATACATTCATTTAATCCTTTGATCTAATGTATCGTAAACAATTTTAGCAGAGGCTCATTCGATGAAGAATAGCGCTATTGTGAATTTCGCTCATTTAGGTTGTTCACAATAGTATATTTTTCACCGCTGAGGAGCTGTACAAATCGGGCAAACTAAATAGGGTGCTTATACATATTTATTTAAATTTGTGTAAATTAAGATGAAGTAAATCAATTAAAAAACTCTTAAGTAAGGGCGGAGCCGAACATTAGATATCCGGCGCAAGTATTAAATATAGTTTTTTCCCCTTTCCAAAAAATACCGCTACATTGTAAGCAGGGGTGATTCTACTCCTATTTCAAACATCTTCCATAAACTTATNGATGAAGTAAATCAATTAAAAAACTCTTAAGTACGGGCGGAGCCGAACATTAGATATCCGGCGCAAGTATTAAATATAGTTTTTTCCCCTTTCCAAAAAATACCGCTACATTGTAAGCAGGGGTGATTATACTCCTATTTCAAACATCTTCCAGAAACTTATATAGTTATATGTGGGTGGTATCACGCCTTTTTCCAAAATTCCATAATAATGTTACTTCTTTTTAAGGGATTGTTGTTAGTGTCATTTTTTTGTAAATTAGCGTCCTTAAATTTCAAAATATCGAAGTTTCAAGCATTTTTGAAATTTACCGTTATATAAAAAGTGGACGTAATTTTAGTTCGGTTTCAATAATTTTCAGCGTTTTCATTTTATGTGGCAAGCNTGGTATCACGCCTTTTTTCCAAAATTCCATAATAATGTTACTTCTTTTTAAGGGATTGTTGTTAGTGTCATTGTTTTGTAAATTAGCGTCCTTAAATTTCAAAATATCGAAGTTTAAAGCATTTTTGAAATTTACCGTTATATAAAAAGTGGACGTAATTTTAGTTCGGTTTCAATAATTTTCAGCGTTTTCATTTTATGTGGCAAGCACAATAATCATACCGAGTTTGGTACTAATTGATGAAACGCTTACCGACATAAACATATGTGGTCATAAATGGGCGGTGCCACACCCGTTTTCCAAAAGTTTATCATATTTCTTGCTAAGGATTTAATAAATTAGCTTCAGTATTTACTGGTTTATCGAAGATTTCGTATTNAACAATAATCATACCGAGTTTGGTACTAATTGATGAAACGCTTACCGACATAAACATATGTGGTCATAAATGGGTGGTGCCACACCCGTTTTCCAAAAGTTTATCATATTTCTTGCTAAGTATTTAATAAATTAGCTTCAGTATTTACTGGTTTATCGAAGATTTCGTATTTCTCTAAATTACCGTTATATGGGATGTGGCCGTGGTTATTGTCCGATTTTAAAAATCAGCCGTTTGATGTGTTGTACCAATGCTAACAACCGCGCCAAGTTTTTGGGGAAATTGGTAGAGCGGTTACCGAGATTTATACACATGTAATCATATATGGGCGTGGCTACGCCCATTTTCGAAAAATTTAAAATATTCTTATTTTTCGTCGAATAATCATTGTAAATATCAATTTTGGCAAATAAGCTTCAGTAGTTACTAAAATATCGCAGTTTTCGTATTTCTGAAAATTATCCTTATATGGGAGGTAAGCGTTATTGTCCGATTTTTCCCATTTTCAATACCGTCCTACGCTAAAAAGAAGTACACATACCAAGTTTCGTTAAGACATCTCAATCTTTACTCGAGTTATCGTGTACACAGACGGACGGATAGACAGTCACCGCTTAATCGATTTCTTTTTTCATTCTGAGCATTTATATATTCATTTGTCTATATCTATCTCAATTCGTTTTGCCTGTTACAAACAACCGTTATGTGAACAAAGTTATAATACCCTTGCGCACAAGTGCGCTCGGGTATAAAAAGGCAAGTTTATAAATACTTAGTAAAAATGGGTACATCAGAGTTCTGGTCGACGATTCGGCAAATGATGAGGGCTTAGTAAACTGGCCAGGAGTAGAAAACGTCTAAGTTTAGTCTTTCGAATATATTTTGACATACAATATATTTAGGAAATTCGTCTACAGATTTATTAAAAACCAAAAGAGACCTGCTGCAGCAATGCTCTCCGGCCAAATCTATTTAAGATATTTTAAACTATCAATAGATCTACGCTTTTGTTCTCAGAAATCGTGCTGAAAGAGTATTGGGATTTTCTTTTATGAGTGCAATACGTCTTTCGAGCGTGTGTTTTGTATTCACGACGTTAGACCTGCATGATTTTAATAAAAAAATAAAATTTGTGTCTAGCCGCCAAAAAACAATCAAAACAAAATCATATATTTTTCAGTTTCCTAACACTTCGCTACATCATCGAAGCAAAATTCTGTTCGGCAGAAAATTCGGTACTCAATGAGAACGGTTGCATAGCTCATAGTACGAATTTCACATTCGATCATCGATAACCAGTGATGAAAAAAATTGAATGCAACTCATATCAAGAGCCATAAACTAGTTAGCATGGAGAAACTTTCTGAATCATATGAAACAGGTCGAATTCTAGTGAGAGCTTCTATTGAAGAGCGAGACTTTGAGGAAATCGCCAGCGGCTCTGATATTGATTCCAGTAGTGATGTGGATTGATAAACGATGGAGAAATGGAGAAATATTTACAGGTACCCCTTATACCCAGACATGGGCGTAGCCAGGTAGGGGCAGGGGCGCCCGGGCCCCCCCTAACTTTCATATTTTTGCCTAGATATTCAAAAATAGTACCACGAAATGCTTGCTTGATAATTTCGCCCCCCCCCTAAATTTCAAGGTTTTTCCTATATATATACTGTATAACAAATTATACTCCCAACGATAACTAAATAATTGGTAAATTGATTTGAAAAGTAGATATGTGGATCATCCGGTTCTGTATCAAGTTATTATCTCTAGCTTCAAAGCACTTCCATTTTAAAAGGGTAAAAACCTGGCTGCAGTCGACAATGCGCAAGAATTGATTGAACGGAAACTATAAATACATTTATAGTTCAATTGTTTACTGCTTTGTCTTTAGGTTTGTGTCTTTTCTAAGCGTACAACGAAAGTTTTGTGTCACAGAACCAATCTGAGATTATTGATAAAACTATAGACCGGTTGGGTGAACAGCCAAGACGTTTACTTCTTAAGTGTGACAAAACAAAATCAAGTAATATATTTAGCATAAATAAATATACCAGCCTAAAAAATCTGCGTACTCAAAATGTTCAATACGCCCTCATACTTATACATACATACATATGTATGTATATCATTTAACGTTTTGTCCGGCTATTTGGTTTATTATACAGGTATGTAGAGCGAATTTAAAAAAATTCATCAGGGTTTAGTTGAGATATTCGTTTTTGGCCACTATGTTTTGTACATTTCCCAGTACTGCAAAGCTTTTGACGGCCATTCACCTGGGAGTGGCCAGAAGTGATTCGTGTGCTTACGGTTCAAATCGCAGCTAACTACGTCCGGATATTTATATCCATGAATACTCTGGGTAGCGACCGAACGCTAGTTTGGGAGCGAGGTAAAGTGGGAGGGCGTAACACCCCGCGTGCGCTGGGGATTAATCGGGATGGTGCCTCTGCCCGGCTGGTTGAAGTCCCAGGGAAAATAAAGGCTGACATCAGCTCCATCCACGAAATGCGATGGACGGGGCGAGGAAGGTAAGCGTGAGCCTTGCGACGTCTACTACAGTTGCCACGTAAAGGATTGCAATTCGGTGTTGGATTTGTGGTGGGAGAGAGACCGGCGTTCACTCTAGTGGACGAAAGTCTAGCCACAATCCGCATCAAAGCGAGATTCTTCAACATCTCATTCACATGTGCCAATGCCCCGATGGAAGAGAAGGACGAGGCATCCAAGGCTCTCTTAGCTTAAAGCGTACATATTAACGCTGCCCCGACACGTATAAAAATCGTGCTTGGCCATTTAAATGCCAAGGTGGGCAACGAAGGGATCTTTGGTGCCAGTGTCGAAAAACTCAGCCTCCACATAGAAACGGCGGGCTGAGGATGACCACTTCGCCAGGGCCCGAAGCTTGGCAGTATGCAGGGAAAGTTCAACGTCGAAAAGCTGCAATCAAAACAGACGGCCAATGGATTCGGCGCTCGACCCTCACACCTGCTGTGAGAGAGCACTCTTCAACAAACCGACTTGCGCGAGCAGTGGAGCCACATTTCCCGCTCATTACTCGTACGATGAGGAGTGTGAGAAAATGCTTGAAATGCTGGCCGAGGCATAGGTTACAAGGTCTTATCGAATTTATTGTCTACCATAGACCAGGTATTCACAGTACGCCGAATTTTGGAAAAGACCCGCGAGAAAAGGATCCGCACTCACCACCTATTTGTCTACTTTAAAGCCGCTTTCGACAGCACTAAAAGGAGTTTCCTATATGCCGCTATATCTGAATTTGGTATCCCCTCAAAACTCATACGCCTGTGAAAAATTACGTTGAGTAATACCACCAGCTCTGCTCTGTTGCCTTTCGCCACCAGACGGGGTTTCAGACAGGGCGAATCCATTTCATGTGACTTCTTTAATCTGATGTTGGAGAAGATAAGATCTTCAGAAATGAACCGCTTAGGAACAATTTACTACAAGAGCGTACAATTGCTGGCTTATGCCGATGACACTGACATCATCGGTAAGAAAAACCGCGAAGTCTGTCCTGACTTTTCCCAAGTTGGATAGGGAAGCAAAGCGAATGGGTCTGGTGGTAAACGACGACAAGACGAAGTATCTCCTGTCATCAAACAAACAATCAGCACATTCGCGCCTGGCACCCACGTCACTTTTGACAGTTATAATTTCGAGAAAGTAGAGAATTTTGTTTACTTGGGAACCAACATTAACACCGATAATAATGTCAGCATGGAAATCCAACGCAGAATAACTCTTGCCAACAAGTGCTGCTTTGGACTGAGTAGGCAATTCAGAAGTAAAGTCCTCTCTCGACGTACGAAAACCACACTATAAATCACTCCTCATGCCCGTGCTGGTATATGGCGTATTAAAATACAGCGGCTCAACTGGCTTGACCATGTCGTTCGAATGGACACCGACGCCCCAGCTCTGAAAGTATTCTGGCTTCACTTGGCATTTCTAATAGGCGTCAGTTGGTCAAAAGCGCTTTGGCGGTTAGACTGTGTTTATACACGGAAACTTTTGTCGACGCTATTTTTCACATTCCCTTTTGGTGTTGCTCGTTTCATTTACACACGGCGATTTGTGTGTATGCAATTGTTGTTGTCAGCTGTGAATAGCGGTTGAATTTACACAGACGAACGAGAGCACAAAGCGTGTTGCCCGAGCACGAGCAACTCGGTGCTCCTCTCCTTTCCTCGTCACGCTCTCTCCTACAAACGTCGAGTTGCGGCAACAAAAATCGCACTTACAGCACCAAAAAGGAAGAAGAGGAAGAAAAAAATCTATAACCTTATCAGTCACATAGTGTTATAATCCCGACGAAATCCTTGACTGTGGTACCGGGAGGGGAACGGTACATGACGGTAGGAATTTTAGTTTGGGTTAAAGTCACACGGACGGGGTTAGGCTTTCGATGCTTCCTCCTCGTAAAATAAACATTCTCAGTAAAAAGTTAACAATTTAAATCGACGAATAGTTTTATATCAACTTTTGTGAACTTCTGTTTATTTGTTTTTTGTACAACATATTTATTTACCTTTATTGGTTACAATAATTTTAAGCTATAATAAAAAACTTTTTAGTACATAAGTAAGTTCTTGGTTTTGAATTTTTATTTTATATCGATCACACAAGCTCTTGGCTCAAGCCTTATCCATTCGTCCTGAAATATACTAGTCAGAAAATACACTTTGTTGTTGTTTTGTTTTGTACTTTAAACAACGATATGAATAATTCATAAGCCGCTTTGAATGAATTAATGCAGCCCTCTAATACATACATATGTATAATTTCACACCCTTCTAAGGTTGTGTTTATTATAGATGATATGTATTCTCAATGTATCGAAAGAAAATATCGATACTTAGTTTGTATCGGATTGAAAAACATCGATGAAAAAAATACTTGGTATCGTTTGATCCCTGCTGTTGATACATTGAGGCATATTCATAGATAAAATAAAGTCCACTCTAAAATTTTTTCCAGCTTTTTTGACAGAAATTCCATTGAAACTTATGGTCAAAAAGCTGCCACTAACTGTAGAGTCGACTTTGTTTTGTTTATTATGAATATGCCCCATTATTTCAGGTTACAAACGAAAGTGTGCATACGCATAATTTCGGTTTTTTTTTTCATATGTATTATTTTCATTTTGAGTCGAAACTGTGCATGAATGCATTACTTCGTTTTTTTTTCTCATATGCATCATTTTGGTTTGCGAACGAAAGTATGCAAATGGATAATTTCGATATTTTCTCATATGCATTATTTCGGGTTTCAACCGAAATGTATGCATTACTTGTTTTTTTTTCATATGCATATTTCGTATGCACAGTTTCCATATACAAAATTTCAGGGTGCTGTGTCCTTTAGTAACATACCAACGAAGCTCGTGCCCTTTTAGGGCTTATCACACATTGTTGTAGACCTGCTCTGGCAGCGGAACAGAACAAAAATTTTTTTGTTATGGCTGCTATATGACTTTACGATTTCGGTTCCCGGATTAAGTCTCTAATAAAACAACTGAACCGTTTCCTAAACCCTGAATTTGTACCCAAAATTAATCTTTTCTGAACAGTGTGCTTTGTGTCACTTGGGGATCCATGCGCTGATTATTGCACTTAAAATAAATGAATATAAATTAAAAATTTAAATTAAATTTTCGGCCCATCCCTTAATATATTATTTAGATTCTATTTTTATTTCAATGTTCGCTCATTGTTTTTTATTTTGGTAGCAGTAAATCGATTTGAACGACCACAACTTAACCAATCTAAGCAAGCTTTGTGCAATATGTTACGACAGCGGCAACCTACATTTAATCAAAATAACTCAACATCATTTAACGCAATTCAGCAACATCAACAGATACGTCAGTCACAAGGACAACAAACACAAGGGCCTATAAATTCTGTATCACAGCAATTTATTAGAGGAGGTATTCGTGGAATAACATCGACTCAGAATCAACTTCCCAGTGGTATTAACGGAGTTAATATCTCTCAGGGCCTTAATCAGAGTAACATTATGCCTGCGCAGCAAGTTACTGCACAAAATATGAACACTCAAATTAACAACCAGGCTATGGCAATAACGTCAAATTCCGGCGTCATAAACACTTCATCTAATAACCAAAACAGCCTTATGAATGTACAATCTGCATCTGGAATAGTTGGATCAGGGAATGTTTTACAGCAGAATGTTAACTTAGGCTCTGCCAATGGCAATCAGATCCTGATTAATCAAGCAAATATTCCATTTCATAATTTTAATCAATATCAACAGCAAGGAATGATAAATAACGGAGGAAGTGGCCAGGTTCAAGCGTCCAACATGGTAAGCGCCTACAATCAAATGGGGCCGAGAAACAACAATTCAGATTATCTCCAACAACGAGGAACTAATATCCGAGGACAGTTTGTAAATCCTACACCTAATGTGACAATGGGTAATATTATACAGAATACGGTATCTCCTTATTCAAGGCAACAAGCAGCAAGTGGAAAACCTAGTGTGGCTTCATCCCAGCAACAATTTCAACAACAGCAAAGATTACATCACCAAATGTTACAAATTCAAGGTAAGAAAAACAATTGAAACATATTGATATACACTGCCGGATCAAAGCATTGGCACTGCGAATTTTTCACAATATATGCAACAATTTTTATTCTAACATTTTTCCGCCAATTTTGTATAAAAACATGGTTCATTCTACAACAAAAAACATAAAAATATAATTCCTAAACTTTGTGCTAAATTCAGCAAATTTTCAACTTTTTAATCACATTTTTTGAATTTTTTTGAGTATGCAGCCCATTAAATTCTAGTAGAAAAAATACACATTGATTTTAGACAATTTTTTTTTTGTTGAAGGCGTTTGGCATTTTTTCCATATAAAGTACTTTCGAACAAAAGTTTTTGTCTGGAAAAGACTGTGTGAAAAAAAATTTCAAAAATCAGCGGTAATTCCTAGCTACTTAAAACTTGTACTTTGTTATAATAAAATTGATTGGGCTACAAATGAGTTGAAAATTTGGTGAATTTTCGCGAGTTTTGCACAAAGTTTAGGAATTATATTTTTATTTTTTTTTTGTTGAAGGCGTTTGGCATTTTTTCCATATAAAGTACTTTCGAACAAAAGTTTTTGTCTGGAAAAGACTGTGTGAAAAAAAATTTCAAAAATCAGCGGTAATTCCTAGCTACTTAAAACTTGTACTTTGTTATAATAAAATTGATTGGGCTACAAATGAGTTGAAAATTTGGTGAATTTTCGCGAGTTTTGCACAAAGTTTAGGAATTATATTTTTATGTTTTTTTGTTGTAGAATGAACCAAGTTTTTATACAAAATTTTATATAAAAATTGTTGCATATATTGTGAAAAATTCGCTGTGCCAATACTTTGTTCCGGCAGTGTACATTTTTTACACAACTTAAAGGAAGAGCTGATGGCCATTAACTCAGAGAATTTTTTGTATTATGACTTTCTTCCAATAAACTCAGTGGAGGCTTTAAATTGTAGAAATGTAGCACAATATGCCAATATGTATATAACAGACACTCATATATAACTTATAGACTCGAAAAGTGAAAATTAAAATCACCTATAAATTAAAATAAGTGACATTAGATATATAAACTTAATAAAGTTCACAAAATTCCAGAAATTTTCGTCAAAAAAAAAACTTATTCAGAATTTCTAGAAAATTTTCGAATATACAGTTTTGTGGCCCGTTCAATTTCATAGATTTTGATCATGCGTTATATGGAAGAAAACGCGCATTACCTAGCGACTTGAAACTTTGTTTTACTTAAATTGAACAGGTTACAAAATTGTTGTGTATGTATTGTGTACGTGTATGTGCACGTGTTAATCCTGGGAGCCCGGCCTTTTTAAGGTCCCAAAAATCACGGTGTTCTCGGCCAATAATCGCGGGATTTTCAGGATTTGTAATTTGCACTGATGGCAATAATAGAAACTCCTTTTTTTACCAGTATTGGTATTTCTTCTTTTATTTAATAATCAATATTTTTTCATAAATGTCTAGCTCTTTATACAAACAACACCGGGCGACAGTAGATTTTAAACACAAGTTTCAATATATTCGCGAAACCATGGGCCAAATATAGTAAAATTGCGTTTTTAGTTTTTCACTCTGTCAGTAATTCAAAAATGATTTAAAAAATTCAGAAAAATGTGCTTAGAGAAGAAGTATGGGTATCAATTTAAAGAGGAAATCCTGTAGAATTTAAACGGATTCAAGTTTTTGATGCAGAAGGACTGGTAAGTGTTGAAAATGTCCTTTTAAAATTGTATCCTTACAATTTCGCAATATTTGAAAAAATTATATTGTTTAGACCGGCGTCTTAAATTGATCGATTTAAGATCCGCCCTAATATTTGACATTGAGTATAAGACTCAACAGTTAGCACACAAAGCAGTTGTCAAAATGTTAAATTGCCCTTGCGGGGAAAACCGTTTTGTGAGCTAACTGAAGTAAAGAAAAAAACCACGGACTTATCGTTTGAGATTCGAAGACAGCAGACATCCAGCAGCCACCAAGTTTTCATCGCCTTCCCATTTTCTAAGGTAAAGCTTTTAAAATATAATTGTACATAGTTAGTACATATTTTATACAAATAAAACTATACCGCCTTATTATTAATACATTACCGTGTTTCTGCTTTTTCTTTTAACTCACGCATTGGCGCGAACGTGCGATTTGATATTTGCCACATTCGCCCTTTGTTCATATAGGTTAAGGACATAAAAAAACCCGATAATATCCTCTAATTTCGTGCTTCTAACTCCATCAGCTTAAAAAATTACCTATTAGTCCAGGTGAATCCGAAAGATTTTAATTTTTTTAAATTCTAATGAAATTTCTTCTTGCATTTGGTATCCATATTTTATTCTACATTGCATTAAATTTTTTAAATAATGTTTGGAATTAATGATACCTTTGAAATCACAAAGTCCTTTAAAATAAATCCGTACGTCAGAGAGAAAAAATAAAAACGCCACTTTAAATAAAAAAGTAGGTTTCAAGCCCATTTATTTAATATTTATTTTAAGGTTGTCCATTGAAAAGAGGAGAACGACTTAAATTTAAATATGTCCTAATTATCTCTATATCAGTAGTTACCTCTTTTAAAATGACTACATTTTATTAACCTGTGGGAAAATATATAAAAAACCAAACGAAATTGTAATTTTGCCTATGGAAACTTTTATTTAATGGATATTTACATTACACCAGTCACAAGGAGATGTCCCACCAGTCACAACTTTAAATATTTTTTAATATTTCTATGAAGATTATATTAATCTAATTTTTATTGAAAACGAAAGCGTATAATTCATATTTTACAACTCAACTACATCGTTCGTGAAAATTAAGTAGTTTGACTAAAATTCATCTTTGAGTGCACAAGGGTAAAATAGAGTTCGTTTCAGTGTCCCACCAGTCACATTCATTCAAATGATAGTTACATAATCTAAGAAATCGGTGGGTATTTTTGTTAAAGCAATTTGATACATTAGTTATCATTCTATGTTAATAAATTTATTTCGCTGTTGCATAAGTTCCGACGACATAGTTAAAATTAAAATTAATTAATTGATCACAGTCTGGAGTAAATTGTCCCACTAGTCGCAATGGAATGGCCCGGAGCTTCTCGACCAATATAGAAGCAATTTTTTGGATTTGAAAAGTAATAATATCTAAATCCCGTAATAATATCTAAATAACAATATCTAAATCCCGGGAATAATCCCGGGATCCCTGGATTGTGATAACGATATAACGAAAAACCTGGGATCGGAAAAAACTGAAAAATTAACATCCCCAATCTGTACTGTAATGTTTTCGGACGGTACTAGCTGTTACTGCCAATGTAGGGGTATTACATATTCATTAGGATGCCCATCGAAAATGCTTTTTTTGGAAATTTCCAGACCCTACCACCTAATTTTTTTTTGTTTTTATGAGAAATACTATTGTCTATTTTTATAGATTTTTTAAAGGTCATTTAGGGTTCGCGATTTGTCGATTTAGGTCAGAAAATAGGATTTTGTAGATTTACCAGTTTTTGAATGACTTATTTNCCTAATTTTTTTTTGTTTTTATGAGAAATACTATTGTCTATTTTTATAGATTTTTTAAAGGTCATTTAGGGTTCGCGATTTGTCGATTTAGGTCAGAAAATAGGATTTTGTAGATTTACCAGTTTTTGAATGACTTATTTGTTATTCGATATCAAAGATCGAATATGCTATGAAAGGAAGATATATAGGACCTTAAAGTGGTACATAATAACCTATTTTCGGACTAGGCTTGTTGAGATTTTTTATCGAGTAAATTAAAAAAATACCCATATTATGGAGTACTACCCTGCAGGGAAAGCTACTAGTTGTAAACTAGAATTCTACCGGTTTGCGTTTCAGCCGAACTAGTTCACGTTCTATCCTTTTTCAANTTTTAACATTGCGATGTCCTACGAGATGTCAATTGTCAGGCTATGCATCAGCATCTACTAGTATAAATACTAGAAGGATCATACCAGTTGATAAGATAGTCTACCAATTCATACCCCGTGAAAAGCATAAGTGTGCATTTTTGCTCGAGACGCTCCAGCTGTCACAATGGCCGACAGAGCAAAGCACTCGCGTGGTAAGCCTGAGGTCC